TTCCGTTCTTTCACTCCGACGTTCGGGATGCCTGCGCCCGGTAGTCCGAGCCTCGGCACGGATCGGCGTACCGGTCGGCCGAGGCTCGGACTCGATAGCTGGGCCATGTACTGGTGGTTTAATAAAATGGCTTTTAAAAGCGGCCCTGGACTACTCGGAACCCCATTGGGTATCCCTAGCAGAGTTTATCTTAGCTAAGGAATGGAATATCCCACACCCTTCTGATGTGTGGACTTGCTTAATGTTTTTTTCGTATTGGCGCCGCTTTATAAAATCTCCTTTCTGAAAAACTATCATTTTTGCGTGGAAAACTCTACGGCCAGATGAGTGGATACAGCCTGTGACTAAATCGGAAGTACTTGGTCAGCCCCTGTTCGAGAACCCGCATATTCGTTCCTCTAGGGGGAGTGGTTTAGTGCAAATACTGCAGTAAGGAGCTTTGGACGAAAATGGATTGAGAAAGGGATTCTTCGAATGGATGATCTATAGGATAATACCCTTGGGTCATGGAAAAGTATAGCACAAATCAGAAGGATCCTGGGCCAGACCCAGAATGTGGAGGAAAGAAGACAGGCTAATTGAGGCTATCTCACACTCATGGTACAATCTCCTAGAGTCTACGGCCATTGACCCTCCTAGAACATGGTACAGGAGGGCAAGCCCCGAAGAAAATACTCAGTTGTGAAAGCTGATCGATATTCAAAGTGATGGTAAACGTTGTCAAGCGCATCGGTCTCACACAGAGACCTTCCCGGCCGCGTCACGCAGGATTGTGCAGGACTCGTCATGGAGAGCGTTTGCTGCTCCGACCGAGTGCGTCAGCCGTACCTCTCGCGAGTCCCTACGACAGGACAGAGTCACATGAGGTACCGCTACCTCCGCCTGTGTGAGTTGTCACCATCCCTTAGGTGGGCGTATCCCTGCCAAGCTACTGAACCACATGCGAAAGCTGTTCATATGCAATTGCAGCGGTAGCCCAGCCGAGGGCGTTTCTCGTTCACTGTAGCATAGGGGGTACGCGTGGTCAAACGCCGGAAGTCGAACCTGCACGCGAATCGCCGACACTGGGGGGCTGAGGTGCCAAGCATGATTCTACGTCGGTCGACTAGGACGCACCACACACACCACGCGTTACACCACTTTAAGACAACAACTCACGCATAC